CAAAAAAGTTACCAATACCTAGGGGTATTATAAAAAATTCTAGATAATTAGTTCTGTAAGGCAGAGACCGAAAAAAATTAGTTCCGGAAATAAATAGTAGTGACAGTATGTCGGTTGATGAAACCTTCTAATTCAAATGAACAAGAATACAAAGTTTTACCGTTACCGGAGTTACAGAATTAGCTTGTTTGGTGAGTCACGGACGATCAGACACCATAAAATAGATACGAGCTATTCAAAATAAGTAATTATTCTATGATATGAAGAAAAGCTGGATTTCGAAGAATTCTTTAATGAAATATTGTAGCATGACTCTATTTCGAAGGGAAAGTTGGTTGGAAGGAACTCGTGATGTGGTCTCACCGGAAACCGATGGAGGATTGTCGCGTAAGGAAGACTGTTGAATTGTCCGAAGAAGTCCTCGGCTGACTGTCCTTCGACCACGATGAAACTGTGCTAATCTTTTGCCTGTACTATGACGGACATCATCAGAGCAAGATTTCATACTTTACGAAATAGAGCAAAAATATAATAAACCAAGAGAAGGTGGACGGCTGCAACCCTATTCGCTTTTTTATACATTGAATATCGCGATCTGAATGAGGCCTCCCTTTATTTGGTTGGCTACTTCAACCTTACTCTACATGCTTACAAATGAGTGAAGTTAACTTCCCGAACCAGAAATGCGTTCGATGGCAGCTGTTCCATCACACAAAAACTAGCGTATGCTCGCCTGATGCTAAATCAAGTTTGGGCTTGTGCTATTGTATATTGTGTGTATGTAATGCTCATGTCATGGGTAGTATGATAGTCCTGGCTAGACTCGAGGCTAATCCAACCTTCTCTTGTTCAATGGCTCTTCCTACACCCTCCCTCTCTCCCTTTCCTTAAGTCTATACAACAGCCACAAAAAGTTCCCATTTAGTTTTCTACACTCGTTTCTCTTATTCAGGACGTTGGCTGCTTTGTTAATTTCTATAGACTCCCTAATCTTACCCCTTGAAGTGGAGTCCCCGTAACCCGCAAAACGTTGTGTTTTGGACTAGTCTATTAAGTGTCCTGTATTGGCCATGCATTCAGCGAGCTCAGATTTTTGGACCCACAGATCTTTACGAACGCTTTTGTGTTCGCATAGTCTCTTGTAAATGGGTCGGCAGGTCTACCTTAGAGATACCTTACCATATGAGCACAAAATCTTGTAACAGCCTAATCTAGAAAGAGCGTCTGAATATTGTCTAAACGAAGGAACTACTGAAGAAAGTGTTAATTTCTCTTTATACATTGTTTTTTTGTTCCATTTATTCAGTAGTTCACTCAACTTTATCGCAAGCTGACAGGAAGGCATAATCAGGAATCTTATAGAATTGTCCAGTTTGTGGCTGTTGTATAGAATTAAGGAAAGTGAGAGAGAGGGGGTGCAGGAAGAGCCACTGAGCATGAGAAGGAGACGGGATTAGCCTCGTGTCTAGCTAGGACATCATACTACCCATTACATGAGCATAACATACACGCAATAGACAATAGCATAAGCCTAAACATGATTAAGCATTAGGCGATCGTATGCTATCGTTGAGGGAACTTTTATTTCGTATGAAAGTGCATGAAGAAGAGATTCGTAGGTCTATCTCATCAGAAAAGGACGGATGAATACCGTTGTAGTGCAGCCGTTTGGCTTTTATACGACGTTCAGGTCCAAAATCAGAGTTATCAAAAGGATAATGTCAGGCTCTGATCATCAAAGCCTAATGACTCAAGAGAAAGCCCTGACCGAGACTGCGAAAGTCCGTAAGCAAGTATGGTTAAGATGAGATGTAAGGTTGTGAGCATGTAAGTCAAGTTACGAAGCCACTTGTCCTATCCTCTCAGTCTAGGGTCATTAACGTTTAACTAACCAAGAAAAGGCATGACTGGGGCTGCGTGATCTGGAACGTCTAGTTTGGTTAATGAGCTTAATCTAGCATGTTGGACGAGTGTAAGTGAAGTTAGAACAATCACCGAGCCGACAAGTTGAGTCGCCTTCTTTTGGATGGCGGCTCAACAACCTCTCTCTCCTGCAATATATCAATCAAGCACAAGTAGGTCATACTCAACTTCCTACCACCGTTCCTCGCATTCAACGTATTTCCTAAGCTATTAATTTAAATAGCCTCTCTTATCTTTCTCTTAACTACAGACGTACCATAATTAGCAAATCTAGTTTGAGACCATTCTATTTCATGTCCAGTTTCTACCATGTGTTCGGCCACTACTAACCGTTGGGCTCAGCTTCCTTTACAAGCATTTTTGTGTTCTCCCAATCTTTGTCCAATAGGTTTGCATGTCTCA